TCAGCTCCAACAAACTGTTCCATTTATACACTTATTTTCACATAGCTATGAGAAGCGTTATACATGGACGTGCGTATGATTGCTGTGCTGTATTAAAGCTTTAATCAGAATAAAACCTTATATTAAAAGCTAACAGAAGCAGTAGCATTTACAAACAACAGCGTATCTAAAAGTATGGGACAACAACAAACAAACATACCATTAAGAGCAGTGCTTGCACAGGTTCTGCGCGATCCTCTTCATTAATATTCTCTGCGTCTCAATCGGGCTCAAATTGATAAGCAATATAGAGGACGTCATTGTTTACAATACAACCGGAGCACATTCTGAGCTTGAGGGGCGGGATGTTCAGAAGCGCTGTAGAGGCGGTTTAGCCAATCACAACACACTGAGCCAGCTGACCAATCTCAGCCCATCGCGTATTTCTGAGGGAGGGGCTTCATAAAAACAGGAAATAATCGAGGCGTTTGTTAGAGAAGGGACAGATCGGTGTGGAATAAAGGTAAATTATGTGAAAAATAATGCGTTTTTAAAAAAAACGAAGCATGAACACATGTTAGACTGCACCCCATAAACACAATCAAGCCTAGAAAAAACCCAGTCAACCACCCCTTTAATAGTTTTTTTAATAGTTTGCATTTTTTAGGGGAATTTATGGTACTAAATTATATTTATGCAAATATTTATGCATAAATTATATTTATGCATTTATTGCCTATTGACCACATTTTCATTGCATTAAACTTCCAACTTAAACTGTTGTTAGTCTTGAATGCTTTAGAGCACAGACTTAAGTTTGGTCTATTTTAAAGAGGAGACACATGGCAGATTGCTGAAGTGAAAAAAAGTGAAATAAAAAAAAAGTTATGTTCCAAATTTGAAGTTGATATCTCAAAAAAGAGCTTTCAGTAAGTTTTTTTTTTCGGCGCAGTACCAAGAGTGTCCTCTAGAAGAAATTGGTTCTCCATTCGTGTCCAATGATTCCAGTCATTTTAAATCACCTTTTCAAATCTTTTAGATTTTTTTTTTTTTTCACACAAGTGCCAAAACCTTTACAAAGTTTTGTATCATTCTAAAGAAGTAAACAACAAAACATAACATTTTTAGTCAAAAATGACCAAAGAACACCAGAGGGTTAAATATACAGATTTGTATTTATTTATACACACATCTGCACCTTCAGCACTTACAGATCCGGTACTCTGTTGACCGATAGAGATAAGAGTTTCAAGTTGTACACCACCAGATTCTCCAGGTTAAAGATTAGGAGAATATTACCGCTGACGACTGTGGGAAAAACACAAACCAGAGCCACGCATACCAACCCTGTGAAGATTTCTCGCCCTGAGCAGGGACTTTCCCTTTTGGGAAACCAACAGCGTCTGCTTTGAGACTTTGCGTCTGTCCTGTTAAAGACCGCCAATGATGTGACTTCCAGAGGAAGATCGGTTTTGGACTGTGCAAATGTTGCAAGGCTGGATGATTGCTTTTGTTTCTCGATATTGTCTGCCAAACCGATTTGTTGAGCGCACAGTACACCATTCCCAGGACAGATCTGTCGTGGCTCACTGTTCTCAAACCCAGCCGTGTGAACGCCACAGCTGTTGGATGTTTTTTCCGAGTCAACCAGAGTTTGTGACATATGCATTAGCCCAGGGCCCAAAAAGTCCTTTTTCTCGCCCATCTGTGTGTTTTTAGACGAGTCAGGCAGTCTTCGGGACGCCTTTGTCCTGAACAGACGAAGGCTCCCCGTCAAGCTCAACAGGACCACCATAGAAGGAAGAACCCAGTAAAACTCATCAGTACAGGGAAGGCAGGTGAGAAGATGGCCACCTTTTCTTTGACAGGTTTCCACTGAGATCTGCTCCAGCATCCAGTCGTGGCTGCTGTAGATCCCGCTCATGCTCCATGCTAGAAAACATCCCAAGTAGCCAACTGTACTAGAGAGGGATTCACTTGCATCTCGTCCCTTTGTTCGCCCGCCTTGAGGACACAGCAGATCAACCAACAACTCCACAGCAATCAAAGGCGGCATCAGCAGCAACACAACTCCATAGGCCTTGCAAAGAAAGAGCAGAAATCGAAGGGCGATGACATCCGAAGACACGTAAAAAGGCATCAACCAGGACTCCATGAACCAGACGTAGAGCAAAAACACTGGAGGAACAGAAAAGAGGCATTAAAGGGAGTAGTTCACCCAATAAGGCCATCTAAGATGTAGATGATTTTTTTCATGAGTAGAACAGTAAAGAAGATTTTTAGCTGAAACCGTGGTCCTTGGTGATTCATAAAATGCAAGTCAATGGCTGCCCGTTTCTTTTTTGAAAATAATAATATAAAAATAAAATGAATACCCGTGGCTCCTGATGATATAATGAGGTCTTATGAAGGGAAACAATCAGTCTGTGTAAGAAACTGATTATTATTACCTGTTAATCAGAGCCTCAAGCAAACAGGGAAATCCAATTCTTTTCTGTGAACTGGTTCTTTTGTTTCCGTGAACTGGTTCAATTCACTAGTTCATTTACTTAAATACGCAAAGTATACGCAATTATATTATTAAAGGGATAGTTCACCCAAAAATGAAAATTCTGTCATTAATTACTCACCCTCATATCGTTCCAAACCCGTAAGACCGGCTTTGTTCATCTTCGGAACACAAATTAAGATATTTTGATGAAATTCGAGAGCTTTCTGACCCTCCATAGACAGCAAGGGTCCTACCACGTTCAAGGCCCAGAAAGGTACCAAGAACTTAGTCCATGTGACATCAGTGGTTCATCCATAATTTTATAAAGCTACAAGTATACTTTTTGTTGCACAAAAAACTAAAATAACGTCATTCAACAATTATTTTTCTCCACGTCACCCTAGCACCATTTTGGAGAGTACCACAACGTATGTGCGTGGTTTCCTCTGATCGTAAACAAGGCGCAGCGCATGCGTGTTCAATGTCAGCAGCACCACGTGCATGCTTTGTTTATGCGTAGATCAAAGCACGCGCATGTGCGAAAAAGTCAGTTTTGATTGAGTAACTTGTCGATCTGTGCTGCCCGAGCCATGACCGGTTTCGTTCAGTCCAATTTGGTGAACTGATTCAACTAGTTCACTAAAAAGAACCGGTTCAAAATAATGATTCGCTCGTGAACCAGACATCACTCCGGACCGTTTACCTGAGGATCTGGATTACAGACAATGTTGTAAATAATATTCAGTTTCTTGCACAGACCGATCGTTTCGCTTCATAAGACCTCATTATATTGTCCGAAGCCACAAGTATTAATTATGTGTTCCTTGATATGCTTTTTTTATTCTCAAAAACAGGCAGCTGCCTGACTTGCATTTTATGAATCAACAAGGGCCACAGTTTTAGCTAAAAATCTTCTTTACTGTTCTACATCTTGGGTGGCCTGAGAGTGAGTAAATTAGCAGCAAATGTTAATTTTTGGGTGAGGTGTCTCTTTAAACTGGTGAATTAAGTGGAGAATGTGGACAAGGTTTGTGGGCCTGCTTACCAGTGACAGCGAGGTCTGTAAATAACAGCAGGCAGCTGCAGCACAGACTGACCGCAGTGATGGTGTGTGTGATTACAGACGAACACAACAGCATGCTGCTCATCAGTTTGCACACACACAGACGCAGCGTAACACCCAGAACACCCTCCATCTTCACACTTAGAAGAGACATTAAAAATACAGTGTCACTTGATGTTTCATGTCACTTGAGATTGTGGTGCACAATTTCTGGAAGGAAGCTGATGATAATAAATGCACAAGATGTGAAAGTCAGATGATGTTCACGCCCCAAGATTCATTTAAAGACAATAATAAAATCAGACTTGACTATTATTATATTATTAGAGATTATTTTCTTAAAACACGTTCCTGGTCTTATTGTGGATTATTCTTATAAGTGTCTTTTATTTTCTTTTTATTTTAATCTCCTCCTGTGTGTAATGTTTCATTAGCTTGTTTTACTTCTGTAATATCTTTCCATTTTGGCTGAATCATTTTGGTTTTAAATGCCCATGTTTCATAATCCAATCCAAAATTTCCAATTGCTAAAATGCTATTTTATTATTATTTTTATTTATTATTATATATATTTATTATATTATTATATTATTATTATATAAAAATCACATTTCTGGTCAAAGTGTAGTGAATGCCATATCATGTCAACTTATTGATGCTGATTTTCAAGAGCCTCAGGCTAATGAAGATATAAAAAGAGGCTGCATTTAGTAAAATCTGTTTTAAATTGATCACAAAAAAGTCACATTTACACTTTAAAAACATTTTTAGTAAATTAGTTCTAGTATCTATCTATCTATCTATCTATAAAGGTACTATTTAACAAAGGTGTTAGGTAATGAACCATTTTTTTCTGAAAATATATATTTTTAAAGATATACATGTCACTTCATAACTTAATTTGTGTCTGATGCAGCAAAAAGCATGATATTTTAATTTGATCCGCCCAACAACAGTGTAGAGTCTTCAATTATGTAATAATAGTATTCAGTAAAGGAGTTAATTCTCTACTCTCTTTTTTTATATTAAACATATATGGGCCATTCTACAGAATTTGGTCCAAAGTCAGAGTTGAAAACGTCTTGAAAAAAATGCCTTTTTCCCCAAAAAATTTTGTGTGTGCAAATTGTAAAAATATCCAAGGTATTTTCAGAAAGTTTTGGAATATTTGTCCTCTGCCCAAATTTGTCACTACCGAAACACAGTAATATTCCTGAATATGTATATGGATATATATCCTGAATATATCCATAAATGTAGGGGTGTAGTTCATTTCAGTCTCAGCCAATGGACTAAAGCATGCACTGTTTCGGTAGTGACATGGAAAATGCGGGACACATTTTTTTTTTTTACATAAAGTTTCATAATTTACAAAGAAAATATAAAATATTTTTTTGAACTCAAAAAGATACTTTTAAAAACAACAATGGAAAAAAATAAATAAATTATTTCAATATCATTTTCATAAATTGAAATTTAGGGGTTAGTGTTCGGGACAGCCACCTCCCAATTGAAAGTACCCAATAAATGATGATTTTATATATATTAAGCTTACTAATATTTTATATATTAATGTGGGTTTCAATAGATAATAGAAGGATCTTAGTAAACATCTAAGATTTGACTATTTAAATGCTTTTTAAATGTGTTGTTGTGCTGTCAATTTGTTGATTGTATCATGTAATCATGCATTTGTTTCTAGCTTATCTAGATTGTTTCTAGTCTAGCATTGCACTGAGCATTTAAAAAAAAAAAAATTTTAAATCTGAGTTATACATAAGCTTTTTAAAGAGTTTGCCACTCCATCCACTACTCAAGGTATATTCTCATGAAAATTCAAATCAACAGCATTTTGCATTTGGTCATAATTACAGGGCCAGCACAACCCGATGGACTCACCAGAAACTAGAGATGGAAGGATGTGACCTCAGACATCTGAGGAGCTGCAGGTCCAAGCACAGACAGATCCTGAGCACACCAGCAGTCAGTCATGCAGCCTATGTCCACTCGTCTTTCTGACTTCTCAATGAGTGTTTGTGTGCATTTCTCCTCCCCCTCCCCCAGTGGGACGTGTCTAAACATTCACGCTTTTTTGTGATGTTGCCTAGACTCAAAGCACGTGTCTGTGTGGAGGGAGTGTCGGTGTTTGGCTACAGAAACCCGTCCATCTGCTTCCTCCACGACCACAGGTGTTCAGACGTGCGCATGCGACTTTCCTGATGTAGTTCTCGTGTCTCTGGTGACACGCAGCACGCTTCGGTGAGCTTTATTTGACTGATGTTTGTGGATCCACGCAGCCGCTACAGTCAGACCGAAGAGGACTGAGCGCGTGCTGCCATCTATCGTTCAGCTGAGAGAACGCGTAGAACGCAAACCGACGAAGATCGAAGACTAAACAAACGAGCAAAGATACAATACTAAGGAAATTGTCCTTAAGCAGTATTTCACCTGTTATTAATCAAATAAAATGTTGTATCTTTTATTTTGGTTTATTTTAATTCGAGTTGTTTTGTGTTTTTCTTTTTGTTAGTAATTTTAAAAATGTTCATATAGTTTTTATTCATTTTTATTTTAGTTTTAGTTATTTAATGTCAAGTTAAAGAAAATAGAAATGTGAAATATTGGCAACTAGCTGAAATAAAATAGGTTTAAGTTTTTTTCTGTTTTATTTTGTTTCAGTTAAAGTTTATTTTATTTCAAGTAACATAAGGTTTTTTATGGTTTTTGTTTAGTTAACTATACCAACCCTATCAGAAACGATCAGTGTTGGGGAAAGTTACTTTTAAAAGTAATGCATTACAATATTGCGTTACTGCATAAAAAAGTAACTAATTACGGTACTTAAATACATAAAGGATATTTGTGTTGTTTAACATTTAATTATTGCAGGTTTGCGTCATATTCTGAGTTGCATAATTTTTATTCATTTTGAGGAATAGTGAATCTGTGTTGTTTTTTTTTGTGAGTGAGATGAATTAATGCATATTCATATTTATTTACTAAAGTAGCATCTTCTGATTTCTCTCAACATGGGGACAGGAGAGCTGTCAATCAATCAATTGGAAAAAAAAAAGTAACTTGCGTTACTTGTTTGAAAAAGTAACTCAGATATTCTCTTGTAAATTAAAAAGTAATGCGTTACTTTACTAGTTACTTGAAAAAAGTAATCTGATTACATAACTCGCGTTACTTGTAATTCCCCCAACACTGGAAACGATTATGTCTATATAGCCTAGTTATTATTATTATTATTTTATTTTAGTACATCAAATTAAACCAAATAGAAGGGAGCAATGTTGCTTTGGCAACCAGCTGAAATAAAATAAGTTTTTTTAATATATATTTTATTTCAGTTAAAGTTTATTTTATTTCAAGTAATGAAAGTTTTTTTATGGTTTTAGTTTTTGGTAAGTATAATACTTCAGCTCAGAAATTAATCTCCATGTAGTTTTTTTCATTTTAGTTTTAGTTATTTTAGTACATCAAGTTAACACTAAAGCTGAAATATGTTTTTGATGTTTTGTTTTATTTTATTTCAAGTAACAAAATGCTTTAACTACAATAACCCTGATCAGAAATAACATTTACTTTACATAATTAACAGGGAATATGTATGAACTATTAGACACAAACATATTATAATACTAATAATAATATACTTGAAGACTTCTACACGTGTCTCTCTGCAGTTTGTGTATTGTATTGTTAATATTGTAAACATAGCCAACCAGTCGATGTCAACAAGGTTAACAATGTAAAACGATTTGTGTTATTCAGCTTTATAAACCTTTTAATTTAAAGCCTTATGCTTAAATTATTTAAATTTGTTTTGTAGACACTTACAGGTAAAGTTCACTAACGATAAATTATATACAGTATATATATAACAATATTTTTCCCCCTTTCATAATTTTAAGGTCACTCATAATTCCTATACTTCAATTTGTGGTATTTCATAGTTCTGATGACTGTATTTAGATGTTGAAAATGATAAATAATAACTAGACTGGTTGTATTAGTATATATTTATATTGTTTTTTGTTTGCACATGTATTACTATTCTATTCTATTCTATTCTGTTCTATTCCTATCAACATCCAACCTACTGTTTACATTCCATGAGACACAGAGGTAGGCTATAAATGGATGTTATGCAATTCCTCAGTGCTGTTACAAAACAATTTCTTATTTCAAATGGCTTTTTATTACAAAACGCCTGTTACAGTATCTATTCTTTCTATGATCTTTTCTGAATCGCTCCATATCTCCGAGTCTGCTCTTTTGAGCTCCCTATCGTTGAAATCAGTTCTCTGACTTCTCATAGGACATTACAGTAACACAAAATGTTAAATAGTCCTGATTTTGAACGATTATTTGAATGTGGCAAGCTCTTATGTATATTTGATCATCTATGATTTCGCTGTTGTAGCGCTGTGCCTGCAGCACCCAGAAGTGAACGGCAGGCGACCCGGAAGGTCTGAAGTCCCTCTGAAGGCAAAGCCCAAAGAACATCTGAACCTTTCATTAAATCGAATAAATCCACCGTCGAGGTGTGCAAGGTATGTCTGTCGCGCTCTTTTCATCTTCACGATCGCATAGAATTTTTTGGGACATTTGCATGATGCGTTGAAGCGAAGCTAGCTGGCATTCGAGTGAGCAAAAAGTTCAAATAAAAAAAAATAAATTATAAAAAGCAGACGCATGTTGCAACAATGTTGCATCTGCACGCTCCTGCATAATTGCGTCACGATAGAAATGTTACATTTTCGCTGGAGATGCGCGTCTGTTTCCATCTGCGTGATTTGTTCGCATCGCATGATTGTTGAAGGAAGTCTCCCGTTTTTTTTTCCCTGTCTTTTTTTTTCTCTCCTCCAGCCGGGCTATTCAAACCTGCAGGTCTAAGTAAACAATCATTCGTGCACTTAATACAAATAATGCGGCGTTTTACTCGTCGCTCTTTTCATCTGAATTCACACGATTTATTTTTGTGGCTACATTTTTTGGGATCTGCAGAATATGGCGCCCTGTCCTTATAAAAATAAGACTGGCTGCCATTTTTGTTTTCCTTTTGTCTGCAATTTTGAATAAAACTGTCTGAGAATGTGGGAGAGGCAGACGCCGGGGACCTGGTCTTTCAGAAGCCACGAAACGTTATTTTGCGAGCGTTTTGAATTTGACGTTTGATCAAAAGCGACGTGCTTTAATTGAGAATCATTTCAAGGATGCCGATAGAATAAAAGAAGAAGTTGAGTAAGTTTTACCTCAGTTTATATCAAAGCCTCTGAGACGTGTCATTCTTCGCCAAAATGTTGATTTGATATTTACATGTCGTTTAAAGCTGCTGGGTGGTTGTTATTAGCGTTTTAAATGTTGTTAGGCAGCCTGTCGCTCACAGACTTGAACCTCAGCGTCATTTAAATGTGAAGAAACGACGAAATCGGTAGAATTCTTTGTAGATTTGATTATAAAATGAAGCTTACACTATTGTAGCGTGAAACTGTATTTGCTTTTGCACCTTTTTGTCAGATGAATGTACATCTAACTGGTACATGTTTATTTTGGAACATTATGGTATTACCATGGTATTCTTGGAAGTAGCCTACTTTTGAGTGCTATGAAAATATTGGACGTGAATTTCAGTGCTTTTAGTTAATGGCATTTCATAATAATTTGTGACCCTGGAACACAAAACCAGTCAACATTTTTTTAAATTGAGATTTGTACATCATCTGAAAGCTGAATAAATAAGCTTTCCATGGATGTATGATTTGTTAGGAGAGGACAATATTTGGCCGAGATACAACTAGCTATATGAATATCTGGGGGGTGCAACAAAAAAATCAAAATATTGAGAAAATCACCTTTGAAGTTGTCAAAACTTAATTAAGTTTTGATATATTTATGGTAGGAAATTTACAAAATATCTTCAAGGAACATGATCTTTACTTAATATCCTAATGATTTTTGGCATAAAAGGAAAAATCGATAATTTTGACCCATACAATGTATTGTTGGCTTTTGCTACAAATGACTGAAGACTGGTTTTGTGGTCCAGGGTCACATTTGATATACTCTGCAGTCTGCACAGTGTTTACATATAAACTCTTTTGCATTTGAAACCTTGGTGTTTCCGGTCTTTTAAAAATCGCTTGTAAATTTCTCGTTATGCTAGGCTATATTATCACCAAATCTTGGATGCAGCCGTTTTGTCAACTTTTTTTTTTCTTTCATTTTAGCACAGGTTTTGTTTCTTTGGAACTCATAGGCCTCATTTATCTAAGCTTATGTACCTTGTTTTTAAATTTAAAAAAGCATTATATGTGGATCATTTTGGTAATGTTCACTCAAAAACTGAGGTGAAAAAAAAAAACCTGTGGTAACTGAATTAAAACAAGTTGATTAAAATATTGAATCCAGTATTTGGTGATAATATAGCATAACAAGATATTTATAAGCTATTCTTTGTAGGCCAGTCGTTTTTGACTGGGGGCACCACAACAACAAGGTAGAAAAAATCCCAGAAAAGTACAAAAATATATATTTTTTAAATTGGAGAAGTTGTCAAAGTCAGTAGGCATGCTGAGGCTTTATTCAAATGTGATAACATTATCCAGCATTTACAAGGAAAAGAAGATCCTTTCTGGGTTAAAATGACCAGAACGCAACAGGAAAGGATTCCTTGAAGTGGTTGTATTGAACAAACAGGACAATGACATTTCATCTTTCCACACTTTTAATTATTACCTTTACCCATCTGGACCTTTAGAAACGGTTCCATACGGTGTGATTACTTTAGACGTATCGTTTTCTTGCATTATGTCCATGACACTGTGCTATGAATGTTTTGGCAGTGCTTATGGGTCTTGAGAGTGTTTGACTAAAGGGCCTTGCAGAGAAATTCATTAAGCGGAGCCAAAAATAATAAAAGCGATATGTCCAAATATATGAGCCCAGACCCCGCTGAATATTTCCTTAATGATGCTGAAAGGGTGTCTGTTTCACTTCCTGCTAAAACTGTGGGGTAGAGTTTTCACTTTTCCATATGAATCTGCCACATTTACATATGCATTTGACATTTTCAGGTTTTAACATTTAAATGCTCAAATATTGTCATTTTTATTTTCTCTTTATGACTTTACAGTCAGCTTTGCTTTTAAATAGTGCTTTCTGCTTGTAAAACGTGTGATAAGACCAATATAATTTGAAGACGTTTGCACCATCACAGCAAATTATTTTTTTTATTTTGCTATTACAAGGCCAGCAATGCAACAAGCAATATTCAAAGTGTTATGCTTTAGGAAGATGCAATTTGTTTGATTTTCCCAACGGGCGTCATGTTGAGTTT